CATTGCTGGCTGGTAGCCAAACGCTTGCTTGGAGCTCGCTATTTGCTTGCTTGTTGTTGTTGTGTATGAGAAACAACATAACAAACAAGAGCTCGGCAGCTGCCTGGTTGGATGTACAAGTGACCTTTAATGGTCCAGTGATTTCAATGTGGCGACACGTCTCGCTAGCCAGTCTTAGCCGGTATAGCAGTAATATCTGAGATAGCTTTTTTGAGTGACTACATATATACATTTGTACATATACCGATGTGCACATATATATGTATGTAGAACAAAAGCTTAAGCAACGGGAAAAACGGTTTCATTCAACAGTTTTCAAGTTGTGCATTCCTTGTTGCACTTGTTTTTGTACGGCGGGCAGCATCGCCAGTAGTAGCAACAATAGCGAGCTGAATTGGAGCTGCAGATAAATGAGCATGAGTCTATGTATGTATGTATTTCTTACATATTTCTTAATCAAATGTTTAAAATATACATACCTCTACACACATACATATATGTGCATAGATATGTATGTATGTATATGATCCTCGCCTGTGTTACGTAACGACAGCAACGAAACGTAAAATCGCTCGAGCACAACGTTGGCACTACATATACAAGCATACATACACGTACATACAAAGCAAATTGTACAACAACAATAGTTATATTAATAACAACAAATAACTACAATAACACAACTACATGAATACAAGAATATTAAAATTGTTAAAAAAAAACAGGCTGCACACGCACTTTGACACTGCAGAGAACAGGTAGCAGAGTTAGTATACAAAAATTCTGGTTAAATACCAGTATTTTAAAGACGAAATTATACCAGTTGATTGGTTGTATAGCAATTCACCAGCAATTAACCCGTAATAATAACTTCCACCACCGTTTTGTTGTTGTTACATATAGAACGCCACGACTGAATTCCATTCTCAGTTACACTCCTTTGAAGGACGCATAATAGCGTTGACTGGTGCATCTTCAGGATGGCCGAACACTTAACGGTTATCACTGGCGCGCTGATATTCACGGTTCGAGTCTCGCTGCAGGCAAATTCATTTATCAAACTTACCAGTTGGATTCTAATTATCAACTACTATTTCCCACTGTAAGGTATATATGTATGTAAAGTGCTTCTTTTTTGGGGCGTGGGGTTTTCAAAAGAGGCAATACTTCTTTCAGAGTTGATCTTTTTGATAGCTGTTACTAGATTTGTAATCAGTTTGGTTTGAAAACAGATGTACTCCAAAAAAATATTCATCTCATTTTGGAAATATTGGTACGTTCGTTGAATTAGGTCGACATAATCGCCCAGCAGAGTCGTTAATTCGAGCAACCATGGATCTTTTTCGCAACACGTTTACTGTAGTGAATAATGGGTATCCTCTAAGGTGTCGAATATAGTGCGCACTGAAAACACTATTACTGCTGGGGAGCAGAGTATCGGAAAAGACCCGAATGAGTTCCGCTTTATGGAAGATTTTGCGGAAGGAGTTTCGTTTGCGGCTTTACTAAATCTAATTAGTGCAAGAGTTGAAGTCTAACAATTGTCAAACGCGTCGCACTTTCGGAGAATGAGTTCGAAACGTAAAGGCCACCGATCCAGATTTTCTAAAGAAAATTTTTTTTCAGCGTGAAGCTCACTTTTAGTTGAATGAGTATGTTAAAAAGACTACATTTTCGCAATTGGAATTATAATAATCCACATGTCATTGTTCTAACGCCGTTACATCCTCAAAAAGTCACTGTCTGGAATCATACATAGGTTCATATTTGTTCAAAAATGAATCTGTATATAATGTAACATTCAATGGCAAACGCTATAGAGCCATGATTAAGGCTTTCGTGCTTGAATTGACGGACGTTGATGTGGACGACCTTTGCTTCCAACAAGACGGTGCTGCATACCGTAAAGCCAACGAAAGAATTAATTCGTTGAATGAAAGCTTTGCTGAGTGTATTATCTCGCGTCGTGAGCCTGTGACATTGCTTCTAAGTTTGTGCGATTTAATAAGTCTGGACTATTTTTTGAGGGGTTAAGCCCCGAGACCACTGACGCCTTGGAAGAGAATATTCGGCGCGTAATTGCTGACATACAGCTCCGACTGCTGCAGAAAGAGTTGGAAAGTTGGGTTGGAATTTATTCGAGTCATTTGCACAATATCATTTTTAAAATATATTGGCAAACCCTTAACCCAACCATATCTTCATCCGCAAGCATCTAGTCAGCTAGCTAGGACTTTATTACAGCGCCAGGGATGTTGAGTTTGCTTTTGTAGCCCAAAAATTATGCCGCAACGTCACACAATGGTAACAGTACACACATTTTTTGCTCAAATAATTAAATAGTTTATTTTAACGGTTCAACCAAAAAAAAATCAACGACTGATGCTTATATAAGATTTCAATAAAGCAATTGGATTCGAATGTAAAGGAATACCCAAATGATTGGTTGCTATTTCAATCAACAGGTATCATTCTGATCATGTTAATGCTCTAAACGTGTTACGGTCAGCCGGCTTTGTCTACCAGATCGAGTTGTACGAATGTAATTAATTTTTTCAATACCACGAGCTTGATTTTTAGACCTTGTGGAAACCACGCCATTAAAACTGTTCGTCCTTTGAAGAAAACCAATCAGACACCCAATTTTTTCTCCTTTTTGGCTTCTTCTTAAGCTGATCAGCCAATAGGTGTCCCATCGAGAAAAACAAAAAAGTAGTCGGAAGGCGACAAGTCTGGTAAATACGGCTGGTGGGGTAGCAGCTCCCAACTCCTTTGATTGTTGTATCCGGGACCGGTTTTGCCTTACGTGTATGTGCCGGTGCTTTGTCGCGTAGTTAGATTACTTTTGCGTGTCTGTGGCCCATTCTGAACGTTTTTCATTGGCTGCGTTCTTCAAATGGATCATATGTTGCTCAAAGCATCATCTTCCTTCAATATTTCTTCCGATTCGGCGGCTTCAAACTTTTTTAGTGGTCTTTCACGGTTTTCATTTTTCACATAGAAATTAATATTTTTGAACCGATAAAAAATTATAACCAAAGGCCTGGTGAAGCATTCGATAGGAATTTGCAGCACTTTTCTTTAAATGATAAAAAAAATGAAAACTTTCCGCAGGAACAAAATTTCAGCATGATCGAAGACAGCTTTTCATTCTTTTTTTTTTTTGTATTATTACCACAAAGCAATTTTTGTAAACACGCTTGCTACTGAAACCACACTGTGCGTCTTCCGCTCAACCTCATCTCACCCGACTTTTCCACTACTCAACATCATACAAATCGCCTACCAGCAACAACAACAATAACAATACAATAGTTAAGTTGAGTATTTCATTAAACTGCTGCTGGTGGTGGTAGTGGGACGCTTGCTCGATGGTCTGTCTGACAGCTAAGCTGTCTATTTGGCATACATTAGAGCAATAAGCTGTTTAGCTGCTAGCGATTTGCAAACTCGTGCATTTACGTATATCTATGAATGTATGTATGGGTGTATGTATGTCTATGCTATGTCTGTAAGCTGGTCTTTTGATCAGCTCAGGTTGCACACCTTCAACGGCAGCAGCAGCACCAGCAACAGCAGTACCAGCATGGGGCATGCATGACTAAGCCTCAGGAGGCAGGTACTTGCTGTTCGTGGTTATTTTTTCGCAGAAAATCTAAATGTAAACAAAAAATTTACCAAAAACAACAAAAACAGCAAAGAAATTTAAAATTTTCAAATATATGTAGTTAAAAGCTAACTGTGATACATGTCATATACCTGCATGAATCTATTTATGGTATATTTATTTATAAATATCGCACGTTTGTGTTTATGTTTCACTTGGAGCTTTCAATGGTTGTTACTAAGTTTCGTATTTGTTGATAACTGGAGTCTTGGTGCAGCTTAGTTTGATAAATGTTAAAGAGAATATATATGTATACATGAATGTATGTAGCGAAAAGCGCAAAAAGATGGTAGAAAATTAAAAATTCACTAATTTCCTCAAGTAATGGTTTAATCACGATTTCTGCCCCGCGTCACTTTTTTATTTTAATTTTTGTTGTACAAGTCTTTTCAGCGCAGCAAAATATCAATCATTACCGTTTGGTACATTTAACAACTGCATCTTCAGCGGAATTAATATTTTTAGTTTAACTCTCGACTGCTGAGATTTACTTGTTTTGCCGTGTTTAGCTGAACATCAGTATTTTGTGGTCTCATATGAAACTTTAGTGTAAACTGTACGTGATTTAAATTTTATTAGCTGGCACATGTATATATGTACCAGAAATGTATGTTTGTATGATGCGAATTTTGTTGCTAATTTATAAGCGTGGGTAAATTAATTTAGCACATTTTTTTATTGCTTCTCTTTTATTGTCATTTTAGTTTATATTTCTTTTTTTATTGTAGGGGCATTAAGCAAATAAACGGTAATTAATTTATGTGCTCCATTTGACAAGTTATTAAATATTATGGGGCCATAGATAAGTTTTTTACAAACACAAATTGAACTTAAAATTTTACAATAACTGTAACTAAAAAGGTAAGGTAAAAGCATTAGGAAAAATTAAATATATTCTTAATTTTTTTTAATTCTTTTTATTAATTTAATATTGAAAAAGTTTTTTGTTTATAAATATATTTCTTGTTCTTTTATGCCAACATCTTTGCATATTTTTAATTAATATTTTAACTAAATTTAAATTAAAAAAAATATAATAATAAAAATTATGTTACAGTTTTTCGCTTAAAAGTATTTAAAATCTTTTATTTAGTCAAATGCTTTCTATGATTTCATTAATTAAATACATTTGTTGCTTAGGAGTACATCGTTATTTACGATTTATACAACTATGTTAGTATTTCTCTCAGTGTCTGTTGATAAAATATTACTTTCTATAGCATACTTTTAGGCGTAAAATATACACTAGACACCAATTACTCGCTAACATATGCTTTTGCATATAATTTACCATTAAATATAAACGCCTTCATTTTACTTTTCTACTTTGCAGAAGAATGGATAACAAAGAAAAAAACAGAATTAACAACAACACGCCAAATAGAAACACGCGTAAAGCGACAGTTGGTGCTGGAGGATGGCAAAGTTGTGGAAGATTCAGGGCCAATTGTCTCAACGAATACGACGGAAGATACAGATAAGCAGGAAACGGAAACAACGGAGGTGAGTTTTAATGAAAAATGTAATGTACTCCATACATGCATACAAAAATTCCATAAGGTACACGAGTAAGCGGGCGTTTTGTAATTACAATAAAAAAAAATAAAAAAAAAAAATTAATAAAGAAATGTTAATGTTTTCAAATCAGAATAAAAAAAATTGTGAAATAAATTAAAATAAAATAATATAAAAATTAAATTCAGCTAAAGAAAAGAAAATAAGTAGAAAATAAACATGAAGTAAACAGAAAATTGAGAAATAAAATAAAATTAATATAGCAAATAAAATCATTAGAAATGAATTTTTATTAAAGTTCATAAAGTTAAATTAAAAAAATCAAATTATATAGTATATATTATATTGAGTAAATAAAATAATATAAAATGACAAGGAATTTAATTTAATTAAATTATTAACAAATCGAATTAAAATAAATTTAAATTAAATTAACAATAATAATTATTGTATAAGCGACTAAAGCGAAATAAAAATAACAATACTTAATTAAATAAACAGTACAGAAATAAAAGAACTTTAAAATATACCAACTTAGTCAAATTAAACTGAATGCAAAAAATACAGTATATTAAATAAAATAACAGTATATTAAATAAAATAACCTACGGCGTATGTGCGTAAAAAAATGAAAACATAAAAAAATTAAATGAAAAACTTAATTAAAAAATTAAATTAAATGAAAAACTTAATTACAAAATTAAATTAAATTAAATTACATTAAATAAGCAAATTAAATTAAAGAAATAAATTAAGCGAAAAATTAAATAAAAAAAATTAGATTAAAGTAAATAAAAAATTCTATTAAAAAATAATTGAAAAACTAAAAAAAAAATAAATAAACTAAAATAAAATTGATAAAATAAAGTAAAATATAATAAAAAATAAATTAAATCATACAAAACATAAAAAAATGAAGAAATATAAGAAAAATAATATAAGTTAAAATAAAATGTTATTTTATTGTATTTTTATTACATTATTATATTAAAAATTAAAATTTAATTTAATAAAAAAATAAGATAAATAAAGCAAAGTATAATAAAATAAAATAAAACTTTATAAGAAAGAAAAAAATAATTCAAATTTAATAAAAAATTATTAAAATTTTCTATTTTCTTTAAAGCCAAAAACCAATTGAATTAAAAAAAAAAATTAATTAAAAAAAAATATTATTATATATTATATATTATTATTACTATTATATATATATATATATTTTTTTTTATTTTTTTAATTTAATTGGTTTTTGGCTTTGAAGAAAATAGAAAATTTTAATAATTTTTTATTAAATTTGAATTATTTTTTTCTTTTTTATAAAGTTTTATTTAATTTTTTTATTTATTTTTTGTTTTGTTTAATTCTTTTTTTTACATCATTTTTCTAATTTAATTGGTTTTCGGCTTTAAATTGTAAATTTTTAATATATTTTCATTGAATTTGAATTATTTTTTTATAAATATATAATATATAGAAATAATATGTAATTTAATAAAATGAGTTTACAAATCAAAGCGTTGTTAGGTCATATGAAAAGTTTCAAAAACGTAATTTCATGCCTGTTGAAAGATAAACTCTGCATACCTATTATTGACGCTTTGTGATCCCTGAAGTGATTTTCGGCCACACATTATGCTCTTTTTCATAATAAATATCACAATTTTATTACGTTCATATAATAATTTTTATTAATCTATATGTTTTGTTTTCATTTAAAGACTTCTTCACATTTCCGATTGAATTTTTCTTTTTAATTTATTACAGAAACGTGATTTAGGCATACCCATCGATAGTATAGTAGTGGATACCAATGGCCGTACATTGGAGGCGCCTGACACCGTTGACGGTCAAGTAGCTGTGCTGCCGGCTGAGCAATCGAAGATTGTGAAAAAAATGGTGCCACGCCCAGCCGATGGACTTGTGCACGAAACGAACGACAAACGCGTGATTACACACGAAGAGGTCAAGGATTACATAGAGACCGAGGATGTGCGCAATTTGGGCGATTTCTCAGATGAGGTTAGTGGTAGTCCGTTCAAATGACCTTTTCGCTATTTTGTTTTGTTTTTTGTTTTTTTTTTGCTTGCGTAATGAATTTTCAACTTTATCAGTTTATTTGCGATTTATATTTAAAGAATTGAATTATAGTTGTTTTTTTTTTGTGGTAGCGGTAGCGCATAGAACGGTGCTGTGGCAAACTCATTTACTACGGCTTCAGCACGCGTTCTACATTCATGCCGAAAAAGAACAAACAAAAAACGCCTAAGAGTTGCAAATAAAAATGCAAATATTTATTTGCCAAGTAACATTGTATTGTGAGCATTGGGTCTAGCCACGAAACGCTTAGACAAACACACACAACCAACCGAACACACTGAAGTAGAAGCGTAGGCATTTTTGGCTATTCGCAGAAATACATTTTTGAAAAGGAGAAAAAAAATGATTATACTAAAAATTAGATACTTGTTATGAAGCCAGCTGGCTGGCTGGTTGTTTGGTTAGCTGGCGGCTGGCGGCTGCGGCCTGATAGGCAGGCGTGCAAGCCGGTATTAATGCAATATCACTTACCCCCCAGTCCGGTTATCGAAGTTGCAGTACTCGTTGCCTTAGCTGCAATTCATTTCATTGGTTATTTTTTCTTCTTCTTCTTCTGCTTTATTTTACATGGCGAATTTTCAGCTAATAATGAGGGAAAGGCAAATTTATAGGATTTTCTTTTTAAATGTGCAAGCCGATTGTGGCGCGCAAGCTTAGGCCGGTGGCATTTGGTGAAATATATTGATCGTTATTAAATGCGATTATTATTAATATGGTATGAACTTATAAATTTAAAGGCACACACACACCTATACATGTGCGCGTGCATGCTTAATATGTTATATTTTCTTAAAAATAATTTAAGGCATTTGAATCTTTGACAAATAATGGTAACTGTGGGGGCTTAACAGCTGCGCACAAATATGTGAATGTACATATACATATACAGTTAGGTGAAGTGTAAATCTTGAAGCAAATTCTTGCCATTAACGAACCTTTAAATATCCTTACGTGAGTGGAGTTGAAAACAACACGCCATTCCTTTCTTCTTTTCGCTGTTGAGCACCAATGCAGCCAGACCCTTCTCCACCTAATCCCTCTGCTTCCACAGCGGCTCGAAAACTTTCATAGCTGCATTGTTCTTATTCATCCCGACGGTACGGCCTAGCCAGCGTAACCGCTGTCTCTTAATGTGCTGAACTATGTCAAAGGTGTCTCCATATATCTCGTACAGCTCATGTTTTTGTCGTTGTAGCGGCGTACAAACCCAGTTTAGGTGCAGACTAGATCATTCTAAATCATCGACGACATCTAACGAGATGTCCAAGAAACGACCATTTTCGATTAGTGCGGACCAGAGTGAGAAGGGAGTTAGATGAGTTGGTTTTATGGGGCATGCAAAGAGGCTGTGAGTGTCGCATGGGACTCATTGGAAGCGGGATATATGTTATATATGTCGGTATCGAGTCTGGATAGGTAGGAGTTTAATCCAGACCCAAGTTGTGCCTGTATGCATTACGCAGTACTCTCGAGGCAGCTCGAGCTCTATTTCTGAAATGTGAGCTTGACTCTGAAAAGAGAGGAAGAGAGTTCATGAATGTGTTGACAGACTCTCGCTGATTGGTGTTTAAGGTTTGTTTGTATGCCGTTCTGTCCAGCGGTTGTTATATGTGGTGCCGAATGCAGTACCTTAAGTCAAGTACTCCTTTTCTGATATGACTGGGTGACGGCTTGGCTTCTAAATGTCCCAACGGTAGCATCCCACCAGAAATTGCTTGCATAGCAAAGCATTATGCTTCTTAACTCCTAGCATAGATGCTTCGTTGTGTAAGTGACGTCAGAAGGTTTCCTGTCACAGTACTTGGGGCGGTCTTTTGACTGGCTGGCAACAACTTCAACTGCGCCTCGCAAGTCAGAGTGTCCAGATCGGACCAACATACTTTACGACTGGCCGGCGTATTACCTTGTAGGTTGCCAGCAAGATTCCTTTATATTTTCTCTTTTATAGTGACAATTGCAGTCGTATATGATGTGAAGGAGGAGTGGAGGCTGTCGAATGAGACTCCCAGTAACTTTGGGTTGTGTATAGTTTGGATAGTTGGATTTTTACATCATTGACTTTCTATATACTTTCTAGTACCTTTGTAGTCTTAATTGGCAGCTCCGGTAGCCGAATAGTTAGCATTGCGTACTGACATTCGGAAGGCACGGGTTCAAATCCTTTTGACACCAACATCCGAAAGTTTTGGAAAATTAATTTAAGGCTCCTCACAAAAGAACCATCAGCCGTTCGGAGGTCCCTTCCTTTTTTTGAAAAACACTAATACGCAAAACCACAAATTGGAAAAATCGCTTCGGCGGTTACTAAGCGCCAACTACATATATAGTTTTAATTGTATCGAGGTTGCAGTACCCGGGCCAGACGCCAATATCGAGCAACTATCGGCTTATAAGATCAAAAAAACTCCTTCTGGTGGAGGACCACTCAGGTAACCCAAGGTACACCTCTTCAACCCCATGGACAATGAGGATTCCTCCATGTATGATAGTAGCACTGAACGGTTAACTGTGTCAAAAGCTTTAGACAGATCTAATGCTACTTGGACAGTTCTCACTCAGGGACCAGGTTGAGGCCATTCACTACTCACCGTTTATGGCGTTAAGTTTTGTTGGCTGGTTTCCCCGGGTTGGGTAGCGGGATCACCCAAACAATTTCCACATGTCGGGTCTTTTAGGGTGGTTAGAGACGTCCTCAATTTGGCCGGTTTGATATGAAAATCTGGTATCGTTGGTCCTCCTACGACAGCCGGTTCTAGATTTTCTTTTGATAAAAAAATAGTTCTATCGATAGCATCACACCGTTGCTTCAAGCCACTAAGCTGTGTGCTCTGCAATCAACAGCATGAATGGTGTGCAAAACTCAAAGAAAATTTGTCTTCAAACAAAAAAAGTTTTAGTATTTAATAATTTTATCGCTTGCCAATAAACCAACATTTATGGCTTTAGTGTACGCTTTGGCTATATATGCACAGTATTTGGCTGCAAAACCGTCGCGTTCGCCCTTTCAATGGCGAGAGCGATTCACAAATCGCATCTTCAATGTGAGAGCAACTTCTTCATATACAATCAAACCAAATTCTTTGAAATGCGCATGGGAGTGTAGCAACTAAACCAGTGTATTTATGTATAGCTAAAAAAGCAGGTTTGTTGCTAAGCTCTTTTGTTTCAACTCACAAACCAACCCTAAACAACTTCAAGTGTTTCAAAAAAGAAACAACGAAAAATGCAGAAAATGAGCAACAATAACAAAGCAGAAGCTCCACAACAAATGTACAGGCATAGCTTGGAGTCAAGTAAGGAAGGAGTGCTCGATGCAACAGAATTCTAATGGAAAGAAAAAAAATTTAGAAATGAAAAAAAGTAAATAAATAATAAAAACCTGTACAATGGCAAATACCAAGCTGCAGCTTCCAGCTGAGATATGCATACATACACACGAGTCTGCTCTGATAGCCATAAAGCATTTACGAAGAAGAAATGGCGTTGTAACAGTAGAAGTCGCTTCCAACAGCACAAAGTGTTGCCTAATCAATGCTGCAACAGAATTTAGCTCAACAACAACAACTTCTGGATTTTTTTTATATGAATTTGTGTACAAAAACTTTCAACTCTTTCTCTGTATGTAGTTAATAAGACGCTTAGAAGCTTGACTTTGCCGTGGTAGTTATGTATGGTTAAGTAAGATTTGCCATTTAGCAAGAAGAGCAATTTGAGTAGCGCATCTCCAGCATGCTTTCAAGTTAAGTTAACAACAACAAGACAACAAACACAAACACCGGAACCAGTTGCATCATGTGGCGGAGAGTACTGCGATTACCTTACCGTTGAGTTTATAGGCAAGCCTATGACGAAGCTGTGCTGGCGATGACTGTGACTGTGGCTCAGACTGTGGCTTTTTATGCTGGTCTGAGCCAACTCGGTTGCTCCGTGGCTCCGACTCAAGCAGCAGACAACAACTATATACTTCGTTGGAGTTAGCTCGCTGCCTCGCTGTCTTATTACTCTGCAGTCGGACGTAAGCAGCAAGAAAAAACTCTGCCACTTCTTGCCATAGTGTTTGCCGCAATCAGTTGTTGTTTGGCATGCGCGACGGTAAGATACAGTTTTGAACGCGCTTGTGCGAAAAGAAACGCTACCTGGAACTTTGACTTCTTTCGGGGGAAACGAATGGGTATACGCAAGTTACAGTTTTTTTTTCAAGCAGTGTATGTGTGTGCGTGTATTTGTGTTTATTTTCATATACAGACATTCAATGTATGTATAATAATAACCCTTAAGCTTTGTTTATATCACAAGTTTTATAAGCGTCAAGGAGAAAAAATAAAGCAAAGGGAAATGAAAAACAGAGAAATAGTAGGAAGCTGAAAGAATGCTATAGGCATACTTTCCAACACACTAATTAGTTATTAGTTCTGTAAAAAATAAAACAAAATTCACTATAAAATGGTTTTATAAATATCAAAGCTAAAAAAATCCAAAATCCAACGAAATTAATAAAAATAACAAAACTAAAATAAAAGAAAAATATAACGAAACATTTGTTATTTGAAATAACAGAAATTAAAATATTTAATAATACTTAATAAAATCAAATGATGTGTTTAATTATATAATAAATTAAAAAATTTAACTAAAATACAAAAAAAAATAAAATAATATTATATAAAATAAATAAAATAAATTAACATAAATCTAAATTAAATTAAATTAAATAATATAAAAAAATAAAATAAAATGAAATAAAAGAAAAAAAAAATAAATTAATTAAATTAAAATAAATAATATGAAGTAAAATAAAATAATAAAAAAAATAAATCAAAATCAAATAAAAGAATATAAAAAAATTAAATAAAATTAAATTCAAATAAAATAAACTAAACTAAAATAAAATAAAATAACATAAAGTAAATTAACGTGAAATA